GCTCTTCTCCCTCCTCCCTCCTCCCTCCTACGTGGCACCCTTCCCTCCTCCTCCCTCCCGCCATACTCCTCCCTCCATACTGCGAGGATAGTTGGCCTCCCCCCCTTGGCCCACCATACTCCTCCCTCACCCCTCCCACTGTACTCCTCCCTCCTCCATCCCGCCACAATCCTCCCTCCTCCCTCCCGCTATACTCCTCCCTCCTGCCATACTCCTCCTCCATCCCGCCATACTTCTCCCTCACCCCTTCCGCCATACTCCTCCCTCCTCCATCCCCCTATAGTCCTCCCTCCTCCCTCCCATCATAGTCCTCCCTTCTCCTTTCTCCCTCCTCCCTCCTCCCTCTTCTTCTTCTTGTTCTTCTTCCTCTTGCTCTTCTTCTTCTTCTTCTTCTTCTTCTTCTTCTCCTTGTTGTTCTTCCTTCCACCTCCCACTCTCCATAGACTCCCTCCTTTTCGCCACCATAGCCTCCCTCCCTTGACGTGGCACTGTGTCACGTTGTCAGCCTCACTTTGCGATTTGTTTTTGACATCAAGTTCTTCTTCTACTTCTTCTCGTTCTCCTTGTTCTTCTTCATCATACTTGACACTCTCCATAGACTCCATCCATCGCCACCATAGCCTCCCTCCTTTAGAATTTTTTTTTTCACATCAACTTCATCAACTTCTTCTTTTTCTTCTTCTTCTTCTCCTCCTCCTCCTCCTACTCCTCGTTGTTGTTCTTCCTCCCACCCCGCAGTCTCCTCCTCCTCCTCCTCCTCCTCCTCCCTCCTCGTTGTTGTTCTTCCTCCCTCCTTCGCCACCATAGCCTCCCTCCCTTGACGTGGCACTGTGTCAGGCTGTCAGTCAGACTTTGCGATTTTTTTTTCAGATCAAATTCTTCTTCTTTTTCTCCTCCTCCTCCTCCTTGTTCTTCTTCATCATACCTCACATTGTCGACTCCATCCATCGCCACCATAGCCTCCCTCGTTTGGATTTTTTTTTCTTTTCACATCAAGTTCTTCTTCTTCTTCTTCTTCTTCTTCTTCTTCTTCTTCTTCTTCTTCTTCTTCTTCTTCTCCTCCTCCTCCTTCTTCTCCTCCTCCTTCTCCTCCTTCTCCTTCCCCTCGTCGTTCACGACCTTGTGCAAGATGGCATCTTCAAGCGCGGCAGGCACTTCGAGGGGGAAGGAGGCAGCGGGTTCGGACTCTACGGCCACGCGCGTGGAGGAAGCATTTGTGCCACAGCCTGAGGCAAGGCAACTGCAGCTGCAGGCGATGAAGGTGGCATTCAAGTGGGTAACGCAGGGGCAGATGGTCCCGCCATTGTCCAAGGGGCTGCAATAATCCATGCCATATGTCTCGTGGAAATCTGAGGGCCGACCTGGCCGCCCTCAGCCAGGCCAAAAACGAGGTAAGGGACCCCCCACATAGGGATTCAGGGCCTGGGTGTGCCACAATTGACTTTTGTCAACTGTCAGGATCCCAACAGTCAAAGTCCAAAGGTACCCAGTCCAGGCCACAGGTCAAGCGCACACACGTGTTTGTATGCAGGTCCCAAGACAGCATCAAGTCCACGGGGGAATTCTGCAACTGTACAATCCAGGCCTTCGGCTATGACTCAATCTGGATGACTGAAGGGAGGGGACTCGAGACCAAAGAGCCTCGCCAAACACTACTTAAAGTGGGACCTCGAGGTGGTCAGCATTCAGTCTTGCTATGCTGGTTCAACGCTGGCTTGACTTTGACTTGACGCTGGCATTATGCTAGCGCGACGCTGGCTGGACGCTGGCTGTGCAACAGAGCTGCGGACGACGACACTAGGGAGGGGCGAAGCTGGCATTGTGCGCCAGGCATGCTGATGTGGCGCTGCCTATGGTCTACGTGGCATGCTAACGTGGCGCTGCCTCTGGTACATGTGGCGCTGCCTACGGTCTACGTGGCATGTTGATGTGGCGCTGCCTCTGGTACATGTGGCGCTGCCTTTGGTCTACATGGCATGCTGACGTGGCGCTGCCTCTGGTACATGTGGCGCTGCCTATGGTTTACGTGGCATGCTGACGTGGCGCTGCCTCTGGTATGTGTGGCGCTGCCTGTGGTGTACGTGGTATGATGATGTGGTGCTACTCCTGTATACGTGGCGATGTTCTTCGTCTTCATTGATGATGTGGCATATGCCACTTGTCTCGTCTGTTGATGTGGCATGGTCCACACTACTTACATGAGGTGACTGGTTGCGAGGGAGAGTAAGATCAGGACTGTGGAGAGATCATGATACGTACCTGGTGGTCTTCATGTCGACATTGCTCCAGATCAGATGAGGAACTAATTAGATGTGCCCTGCGGTACCTTGAGGTTACTTAAGATATCCATCCAGACTGTTGATTGTTGAAGTGGTGCTGGAGGAGGGAGCCCGAAGCAGGAGTGGGCATTGCATTTTCCTCTCCTTTGTCTAATCTCTCTCCTCTCTTCTTCGTCTGTGTATGATATCTCGTCTCATTCTGTCTGGACACGATCTTGATTATTGGTACTCATCAGCTGTTGACATTTATCTGGACTTGCGTTGTTGATGACTGTTCTCAGGATCTGGGTTCATTACAATTTGGTATCAGAGCATCTCTTCATCGCGATCTGCTGTCTGTCGACAGGTGCTGACGTGGCACCCAGGTAAGTGGAAGGTGCCGCAAGTGCAATATGAAACGCGTTTATTAACGCGCGCGGTCATACCGCAAGTCTAGACATGGTAGTAGTGCACTTGCGAGCAACCATCCCTTGAAGATGATGACCAGGCTACGTTGAAGTTTGAAGAGCTGCGTTGGCAACAGGCTGACGTGGCATTGGTACCGCTGATATGGCATATTGTTGCTTGGCAGGATATGGTCTGACGTGGCACGTATCTGTGCTGTGATTACCTGCTAATTGGGCATTGACGTGGCATGCCAGTGTAAGCATGTGATAAGCACACATTGCTGACGTGGCATCCCCCTTGTATACCTCCGGGTTCTTGATGTGCTGACGTGGCAGACTCCAACGAGCTACTGTGTTGGCATGCCAGGGGTGACACGTGGCATGTGTTGGGTGAGTTGTTGAGTGTGTTGGTCGCTGCAGGCAGTACAGCTATAGAGAGAGGAGGTTGACAATTGTTTGTGATTGTTGTGTTGGTTTCCTACTTACTTGTTGGTTGTTCTGTGGTGTCCTTGCATACTCACCTGTGTGCTGATGTCTTGATCACACTGGTCGTGGCTGCGGTACCTGCACATATACGGTAGAATGTCATCATACATAGAGTAGGAAAATCAGACTGCAAAATAGTATTAGAAAATTGATAATATTTGTTTCTTTGTATTTCCCTTCAACAATTCTTGCTATAAGTATAGCGTGCATCGTGGAATTTATTTTTGTCTTTAATTTTATTTATTGTGCGGCATTTGCATGCTAGGCAGAATGAACTCTCTTTGGAAGTGTTTGCGTGCCTCTATCTTGACCCGGTTCATACCGCTCTTCTTCTTTCCCATCCCTCTCACAGTCTTTGCCGATGAAGAGGGAGTAGAACTGAAAACCCGCGATCAGATTGATGGAAGGAGACAGACTCTGTTGGGTCTCCTCCGCCAGATGCTCGGTGAAATACATGGTGCCGGTCCAGAGGCTGAACAACATGTTCACGGACAGGTCAATCTGCTTGATGCAGAAAGAGACCTGCAGACCGCTGAAACTGCTGTTCAGATGATGGAGACAGGCAAGAGGGTAGAAAACCTCATAAGACAAGGACCAGTACGTCGCCGAGAGCCTTGAAAAACTAGACCAGGAAAGAACCGAAAGAAAAGGAAAAAAAGAAGAAACGGTTGACAGGAGAAAACCACAATTGTCTATGGATGTGATGGAGGAAAACATCAGACAACTAGAGAATACATTGAAAGAAGAGAGAAGGAAAGTTGAAGAATACAGGAGACTGAAAGAATAGCAAGAGGAAGAAGAAAGGGTAATGGAAATGTTGAGGGAAAAATTTCATTATGAAGAAGTAGGAAGTGAGGTTGCATCTATTCTTCAGTCTATTATGGTTTTCCTCGTTCATCTCGAGAAGAAGATTGACCACAACACCACCGCCATTGAATCTATGACGAGAATGATGAAAGGGAGGGATAAGGTGTTGATTGAGGAGGTGGCCAAGGGGGGAGAAGATAAGAAAGAACCCCGAGACAAGTTAATGAAGGATGCAATGAAACGGGTCACGCCCGAGAGAGCCGAAGGTTCTAAGAGAGAACCTGAAAAGCTGGAAGAGAAGAAAGAAGAACCCACCGGAAAGAAAAAAGAACCGACAAAAGAAGCAGAAAAAACCCTACAGTAACAAGAAGGATGAAAACTTGTTGTTGTGGATTGCCGAAATCCTGACTTACTGTAGTACCGCACCCGTGGAACCTGAGAGTCAGGTTGCTTTCYCAACGTCTTGTTTAGGAGGAGTGGCCAAGGAATGGGTGCTGGCTGAGGCCAATGCCGCTGGCTTTGAGGATATTGGTGAGTGGGCAAGAACCCTGACGTTGAGGCAGTTTCTTCAAAAGATAAAGGAGAGGTTCCTTGACAAAATGACGGCGGACAAGGCTTTTGACGAGCTCACCACCATTAGCCAGAAACGTTGGACTTCTGTCGATGCATTGTCTTGTGAAGTTGATCGTCTGTTGCAGGTACGTGGATTGAATTTGCAGGATAACCAAGTCCTATACATTTACTCACGAGCGTTGCCCGAGCCCATTCGTGGACAGCTCGTGGCCGAATCGAAATCTGGTAAGTATAATTATCGGCAGTTTCGCGACCTTGCTCTTCAAAGAGAGCAGATGACCGCACAGGTCAAAGGTTCGTATGCTTCGGTTGTTAAGTCAGCACCGGTTGGTGGGTACGACAAGCGGGTCCTCTGGCTGCAAAAGCACCAGGACCATATGCTTGTGTTGTTCGACGACGAAACGGTAGAGAAGTTACCTCTTGATGAGTGTGAAGGAGGAGGTAACGGCGGCAGTGAATCTAGGAAGGGTGATGTCACTGCCGTAATGACCAACAGGGGAGGCCAAAACCATTGGAAGAAGAAGAAGAGGCCACGCTCGTTTCCCGAGCATCCCAGCATTGCGTTCGGGAGACCTTGGGAAAAGATGAACATGACTAGGGAGGAGTGGCAGTCCAAGATGGACAACTGCTAGTGCCTCAAGTATGGCACTGTGGGGCATGTGATCGCTTGGTGCCCACTTATCCGTAACCCAAAAGCGAGCAGCCAATAGGAGTAGCATCTGCTCCTACTGAGTCGAAGGGTATAGACGAAGAAAAAGGTAAGGCGCCTACAACCCCGTCTACCCCTTCGACTCTCAAGGCAGAGGATGGCTCTTCTTCCGCCCGTCGTCCAGACCACCCTGACACTGTGCTATGTTCTGTCTCACTGGACGATTCCCTTGACGAACTCGGCAATGAACTGATAGCACTACGGAGTTTGTGGGCGAAGAAAGCAAAATCAAAGGGTGAGTTAATGATCGCGGATGTTGAGATTGCGCATACGCGAGTAGGTGCTCTGTTAGATCCGGGATCAACGCGGTCTTATATCTCAGAGAAGGCAATTCGGAAATTGCATCTGGGAATGAAGGTAAAATATTTACCTAGACCTATCACGTCTATACTGGCTGATAAGAGCACGATCACTGTCTCTCAATACGTCGATCGTGTCAAGTGCTATTTCAGGACAAAGGAAGGTAAGAGAATTCTACACGAGCTATCCTTCCTAATTGAAAAAAAATTACCCTTTGACTTAATTTTGGGTATGGATTGGCATGAGGAAGCCGACCCAGAAGTCAAGTTCAAAGATAAAATTGTCAAACTTAAGGACGATAAGTCCGAAATGCGTGTGATAAAGTTGTACCATAAGTCTGGCTTTGACTCTACTCTGTCTTTTTGCTGTATGAGTTACCCAGCTTTCCTATCAATGGTAACAAAGAAGAAGTTGGATCAGAAGGTGATGATGGTGCTTGTTAAGCGTGTAGGTGGGTGTTCTTCATCCTACCCACCTTCTATTGAAAAACTTCTTGACGAGTACAAGGACTTGTAGACTGAGCCGACGGGAATCACTGAGCGTGTTATCAAGCATACTATTGAGATTATTCCCGGAAGCAAAATTCCCAAGGGTCCCATTTACCGTATGTCTTCCAGGGAACTTGAGGAATTACGGAAACAATTGCAGGAACTTACTGACAAGGGATGGATTCGCCCTAGCTCATTTCCTTATGGTGCACCTGTCTTGTTTGTGCCCAAAAAGGAAGGTGAACTTCGCTTTTGTATTGATTATCGTGGGCTGAATTCCGTCACTGTTAAAAACACGGAACCTCTTCCGTGCATTGACGATCTATTAGACCAATTACAGGGATGCAGGTACTTTAGCAAGATTGATCTCAAGTCAGGGTACCACCAGATCGAGGTGGCTCCTGAAGATCAACACAAGACGGCGTTTCGAACAAGGTATGGTCACTAAGAGTTTGTGGTAATGCCTTTTGGTCTGACTAACGCCCCTGCAACCTTCCAGAGGTCTATGAATGAGTTGTTTCGTCAATGGTTGGACCAATTCGTAATTGTCTATCTCGATGATATCCTAGTGTACAGTAAAACACTGGAAGACCACGAGAAACATCTGCGAATGGTTCTCAAGAAGTTACGTGAAGGTAACTTCAAACTGAATCCTAAGAAATTTGAATTTGTTAAGCCTGAAGTGCTATACTTAGGGCATATAGTGAATGAAGAAGGACAAAAACCACAATAAAAAAAGATTACAGCAATCCGAGATTGGCCACAACCTAAAACTATAACTGAACGCAGATCTTTCCTAGGACTTGCTAGTTATTATAGGAAGTTCGTCATAAACTTCTCCTTGATAGCTGCTCCTATGAGAAGACTGCTAAAGAAAGAAAAACCTTGGTTGTGGGACAAAGATTGTGAGTCGTAATTCATGAAACTGAAATCTGTTTTTACTCACTACCCTGTCTTAAAGATTGCTGACCCTTCTCTTCCTTTCATCGTCACGACTGACGCAAGTCGGTATGGGATTGGCGCTGTGCTACAAAAAGACGACGGTAAGGGATATAGACTTGTTTAGTTTATGTCCATGAGGCTTCCGTCAGAGAAAGTCGCCAACTCCACTTATGAAAGGGAGTTGTACGCCTTAGTCGCAGCACTAGATACCTCGAAGCACTACTTGTTGGGAAGATATTTTACTGTCTACTCTGATCACTCTACATTGAAGTGGATCAAGACTCAGCCTAGACTCTCCGACAAGCTGGTAAGGTGGTCCGCATTCCTTGACATATTTGACTTTGAGGTGAAAACCATCCAAGGTAAGTCTAACGTGGTTGCGGATGCTTTGGCATGCAGATTTCTTTGGAACAATTGTCTCTTATCTCGATATTGGGAATGAATTGAAGGAACAGATAAGGAAGGGTTATATAAATGATTCCATCTGGAGTCCCATCATTGAGACTCTAAGAAAGAACCCTGAACTATTCCCAGAGTATCGAATGACTGACGGCTTACTCTTCTTTATAGAAAAAACCGAAGAACGACTGTGTGTTCCTCACCACGAACCGATTAAAAGTTTAATCATTGGGGAATGTCATGATGCAGAAGGACACTTTGGTTTCAAGAAGACATACGTCGATGTCTGAGAAAGATTTGAATGGAAAGGAATGAAGGAAGATGTACTAACCTATGTGCGGACTTGTCTTGTCTGTCAGAGGAACAAACCCTCACATGAGAATCCGATGGGACTACTGAGACCACTGCTTATTCCAAATGAGTGAGGTGAGTCTATCTCTATTGACTTCATGAGTCTCACTAAGAGTAGAAACGACAACAGTCAAGTAGTGGTCATCGTCGATAGATTCTCTAAGTATGCTATGTTCATTCCTTTGCCTGTTGAAGCTAGAACCGAACTAGTGATTCAAAAATTCCAGATGCGATGGGTTTCTGAGTATGGATTTTCGAAAACCATTGTCTCTGATAGAGATGTTCGGTTCACTACAATGGCAGAAGTTGATGGAAGTCTATAGCACCAGGTTGACCATGTCGTCAGGCATACATCTTGAAACCAATGGTCAAACAGAGCAAATGAATCGTCTATGCCAACAACTTTTGCGAATGTATGTCCGACCTGATCAGGTTGATTGGGATGAGAACTTACCCAAAATTGCTAGTGCTTATAACAACAGCGTGCATACTGTCACAGGTAGAACACCGAATGCACTGCATAAGGGTTAGAAGCCTCGGCGCCCCATTGACGCCCTGACCAGAGATCAGATTCAAAGGCTACCCCCGGGTACACGTGAGTTTGCAATTTTATATGAAGAAGACATTAAGAAGGTAAAGGAAAACATACAAAAGACCCAATTACAAATGATTGAGCAGACTAATAAGGATCGCCGACCTTAACAGTTTCAAGAAGGAAATTTTGTTTGGGTTAAATCTAAAGAGTTTTCCTTAGAAGAGAATGTATCTCAGAAACTGCTACCTATCTACTTTGGACCCTGGGAAGTTCTCAAGGTGCTTGGAGTGGCTCGATCAATATAGGTGCTTGGAGTGGCTCAGTCGCTATAGGTGCTTGGAGTGGCTCGGTCGGTATAGGTGGTTCCAGTGGCTCGGGCGGTATAGGTGGTTGGAGTGGCTCGGTCGATATAGGTGCTTGGAGTGGCTCGGTGGTCAGGTGGTTGGAGTGGCTCGGTGGGTAGGTGGTTGGGTGGGTGGGTGG